ACGCTCCCATACGTACCTGCGCATGTCGTCCCTGTATAGTTATACAGTAATGTCCCCCGCACTGCCCAAAAACGTAAGTATTCGGGATCCATCGTCGCATCGCCGTGGGAGGACGAACCTGAAATTACTTCCTTACGCCGAAAGCTGATCCAGGCCTGGCTTACGGTGTTGCTCTTCATGAACTCTTCTTGCTTTTGTGTATGCTCTTCTGCTTGCTCTGCGAACATCTTTGTGTTCTAGCGGTTCTTGAAGTGTGTTTTGAAGTGTGTTTACTGTGTTTAGAGATAGCGACCTCTATTCTTCTTGCTTCCGCAGATGTTGCATCAGAAGCTGCAGCGGTTGTGGTTGTTGTTGTTGTTGTTGCTGGTGTTGCTGCTGCTGCTGCTGTTGTTGTTGTTGTTGTTGCTGGTGTTGCTGCTGCTGCTGCTGTTGTTGTTGTTGTTGTTGCTGGTGTTGCTGCTGCTGCTGTTGTTGTTGTTGTTGCTGGTGTTGCTGCTGCTGCTGCTGCTGCTGCTGCTGCTGCTGGTGTTGTTGCTGCTGCTGCTGCTGCTGCTGCTGCTGGTCGTGGTGGTGGTCGTGGTGGTGGTGGTGGCGGCGGCGGCGGCGGCGGTGGTGGTGGTGGTGGTGGCGGTGGCGGTGGTGGTGGTGGTGGTGGGTGGCGGTGGCTGTGGCGGTTGCGGTGGCAGTATGTGGCGATGGTGGCGATCAAGTCCTGTAAACTTTTCTTCTGCCGTGCCTAGCTCATGGACCACCTGCATTTACTGCTCACCTTGCGCTGACAGCACGATGCCAGGCATACAGCAACATCACCCAGCAGGAGCGACGAGCTGCAAAGGCCGGGGACAGCGCAGCAGTAAAGAGGCTTTGACGAAGCAGATAGCCTTGACCCTCGTCATCACCATCGCTGCCGGACCCTTCAAAATGCCGGAGACTGGAATCGCGGGGTGGTATAGACTATGCTCAGCGGGTTCCTTATGGCAGTGGCACTCGCTGCTGCTGTTGCTTCCGCTGCCGCTGCCGCCGCTGCTCCCACGAACGATTATCACAAGAGTATCGCCCCAAGCCTAGAGTGGTACTTTCATCATCGATAGCAAACAGGATATGACAAATGAACAGAATCTGCCCAGCTTTGGCCCAAGACCTGCTGTTGGGCCGGCTGGGGCCCGCGCATTCTGAACCCTCAGATGCACTGATATTATACACACCCGGTCTGCAGCAAAACCAGGCTTCAGCTCACAGCAGAAAGACGGCGAAGCACGGTGTCATGGCATCAGAATGCCATGATCAAAGGTTTGGGTTTTGTGCGAGCGTGAAGGGTGTTCAGCTCAGGATACTTGTAGAGTTCGGGTTCAAGATAATGGCTTTATGCCCTGGGCTTCGAATTTGAAGGGTTTCAGGCTCAAGTTTAGATTGCCCTGTGCGTTATCAATGTTCATCGCAATTGGCTATGCTTCTTCACAGCCTCACGATATGTTCAAGTAAGTCGCCAAGTTGACTATGTGTCTGCAGCTTGGCGAACTATTGCGGCAAGGAAACCAGTGTTACTTTCTGGTGTTGTAGAGTTCTGCTGCAGGCAGCAATCCTGCTATCAGGGAGAGTAGCACAGTGTCTACGAAAAACGAATTAGAACGGAGCCCCCATCCACATCCCGAAACCCTGAACCCTAAACCTTCAGCAGCCTGATCACCGAAGGCTATTCGCTTGCCGAGAGCGAGGAGTTCATTTGGCCCATGCCGGTGTCTGCGACAAAACCGGGGAACCGTCAGGGGGTTTAGGGTTGTTTAGGGGTTTAGGGTTTAGGTTTCGGGGATGTTGGCTCAAGACAGAGTGCATGTGCATAGTGATGTAGCTAGGTCAGCATTGCAACTACCTGAACCTGCGATCGTTGCACAAGCCTCGCCAACGGATGTTTCAAAGGTTCGCTGGTAAAGCAGGCCTGCCCCAAAGGACACCCCCAGTTGATCTGACATCTTGGGCGACTATCAGAGCTGTAAGACTGTGGTCCTGCTTGCATGCGATGCGGATAAATAGATCCGAAGAGTGACAAGGATTCACTCGGTCATCAACCAAACGAGCCCCAACCAGAAGCATTTCCCCTGTTGGCCTTCCATCTCAGGGCAAGCAAAGCTCCCAACTGGTGCGCAGTGAAACACCACGGGCGAAGCAAAGAAGGTGCGCTGGGCAAGAAACACCGGCCCCTCGTCCCCGTCGTCGCAGTCGCAGTCGTCATGGAGGTGGTAGTCGGGCAGTGTCGTGTTGATGCGTCCCTCAATTGTCGTTCGTTCCCAGCCTGACATGGCAAGAGCACAACGGATGCAACCACCGTAGGGGCTCATTCTACTTGCGGCGCAACAAGAAATCAGAGGTTCAGAAGATACGAGTCCGAAGCCCAAGTTCAAAACTCGAAAACCCAGGTTCAATCCCTAAACCCCCAACCCTCAGACGGGACGCCTCAGGCCCCTAGTCCTATGCTTCAAACCCGCAAGGAGGAAAGCTGCTCTCGCGGTGGCTTCTGATGGAGAGTTCTTGGGAATGCCCCCGCCAGCGGAGGTCCTGAGGGCAATTCCATCCAGAGTTTGGGGCAATAGTTGAGTTTGCACTTGACATTCCTTGAGACATCTTCAGCAGAGCCTCGCTTCCTCTTGAGAGGCCGGGCGCCGTTTGGTCTTTGTTCCCTTGGGTTGGTCAGACTTACCGTGTTTTTTCTGTTGACTCTCTCTGTGAGCATGGGCGGATCCCACTTGTCTTGAAGAATAGCTGTAAGGCTGATCGTGGAAGCTGTGGAGCACACCGCCCCTATCTTTGCCATACACAACCATGCACCCTTTTTGTACATGCTCATGCGTATACGCAAGATGTGTGTGCGTGTGTGTGTGTTTATTTTAATGAGATGTGTATATGATTGCAAATACAGCCTGTACATCTACCCAGCTGTTTCTGCTTAGCAACTACACACTGACCAGCAGGAGTTGCTGGAGCTCGGCATGCCAGACCTCGGCAGCGTCGCTGGCGGCCTGGGGCGGCAGGACGGCAGGGAGCTCGATGTTCCATGCTGGAAGCATCGACGACCTAACAGGGGCTCTTGACAGTAATTTGTGTTTGGGTTCGGGGTTGGGGTTTGGGACTTCTGAATCCTCGTGTTGTGGCGTCTGGGCTTCAAGAATCTGTGCTCAGAGACCGACGCACCCATGAACTGCCGAGCAGCCGACTGCCCCGAAGGCGATTTGCACCTTCAAGTCTCTGATGATTGCTGCCATGAAGATGTGCGCCTTCTGCTGCTCGTTGCAGTTTGGGAGGTGCTGCAGTTTGCAGCAGACGCCTTCAAAGCTACCTCCCAAGGCTAAGTTGCTTGCGCATCTTCGTGTCAAGCTTCTGCAGAGAAACTGAGGCTACATCCTGGTGACCACAGCTGTGAGCATGTACTGTGCCGTCTCCTACTCCTTGCCCTTGGCATCGATGCTTGGCTGACCAGCCTTCCATTTCGATGAGCGTGCAGCATGAGGTGAAACAGAGGTTGAGAGGCAGTAACCTGAAACCTTAGGCCCTTATACACACGTTTGGTACCTAGATGATCTGAATCTATCTGTATCTGAAATCTCAAACCTGGATTCATTTCGAAGATGTCAGGCTGATCATCGGCGTTGTAGATGGCCTGGCCGCCGGCGTGGCAAATGTGCAGCCCGGCCGTGCTGGTACAACGATTGGCGCTCAAGAATGTTTTTGTTCAGAGGTTGTTTGCTCTCGTTCTCTGCTTCAGTCGTGAAGTGTCCCGAAGGCTTCGTATTTCCATCTCTCCATGAGATCCTACTGCAAGCCCGATTGCTTGCACATGCTATGTGCCTGGTTGTTGCAGGAGTTGCTCGTAAGTTTAGCGTCAGCGCTGTCGAACCCAACAGTCGCTTTCAGCGCGGGATCGCTTGCACCTGGTTGCTTTTGCGTCGTCGTCGTCGTCGTGGCAGCAGCGGCAGCAGCAGCAGCAGTAGCAGTAGCAGCACAAGTAGCAATAGCAGCAGCAGCAGTCTTAGCAGCAGTTGTCCACATCACAGCTGCCCTGGTGCTAAGAGTTACTGCTGTAATGCTTCCAGGACATGGTTTGGACAGCGATGGCGATCATGATGTGAGTAGGAGTATGATCATGCTGAGAATGACGACGATTGCGTGCATTAGCGATGAAGGGGACGACGATGATGGGTTGTGTTGATGCTGAGGATGGCGATGGTTACCATGCAAATATCAGTGGTGGTAGCTGCGATGACACCGTCATCTTTTCGATGCTGCTACTTCTAGGATTTATAGGACATACAAATCAATACTATACTAATCAATACTATACTATACTATACTGCACTATACTCTACCGCATTTTTCTAAACTTGGTTAAGCTAATTTGTATTTCGATACTTGGCCAGAGGCTACAGCCCGCTCTCCCGAGGAAAGCCGTCCTCAACCGCTCCTGCCTGCCTGGGTACCTGCAGTCCATCACCGTCTTCGTGACACTCCCAGGCCGGAAAACCTCACATCTGAACCTCAGAAGTAGCTATGGATAGTCATAGTATCTTACACAGTAGTATAGTACAGTAAAGTATGGTATAGTATAGTAGGTTAGAGTATAGTACAGTATCGGTAGGGTCGTGTCTCACTGCTCCTTAGTTGCGCAGTGTTTGCGCTGTCACTGCCTCCCAGTTCTTGCAGGCATCTTCAACTGACGGGTCATCACTTGATGTGACCATTTCATCCGGCACACGTGTTGGGTTCAAGGTTCTGATGGTGGGGGTTGATCCTGGCCTGGCACAGATTACAACCCTAAACCGTGGCTCGCCAAGAGCGAAGATACCCAGGGGAGTCCTGATGAGGGAGCTTGCTGAGTTGAACATTCTGGATTAGCAAACTAAGTCGTGGGTGCTGCTACTTTAGACCATGGAGCAATGCCAATACCTGCACATCTTCTAGAACAGTCTGTCCTCTCCCCACTTGATCCCTCTTCATCAACTCCATGTTGCAGGATACCACTCGGGCAGATTTCTCAAGCAGTGGGGATAGTGTTCTGTTGGGCACACGTCTGGCTGAGTGTCATGTCGCTCACGGAAAGTATCCCCGGGGAATTGGTGGCCCGAAATCCCGAAGCCCAATTTCGAGACCCCTTATAGCCTTATGGTCCCTTCATAGTTCTGCTATAACATGGACCGCAAGCCTATTCTAGTCTTTGTGGCCCCCATGTTCGACTGTCTAATAACTCTAATAAGATGTCCAGGATATTTTGGCTCGAAGTTGCTCGGCCTTCTGTGGCCACTAAAATGCTGCGCACCCGGTATCGTGACCACCCACAGAAGCCGAATGCAGAACTATGTACAAAGACTCTGCTGGAGTTGGGGATCCTCATTTGTTGAGTCATGCCATGAGATGTCCATGGAAAGACATACCCAGATCTTAAACACGCAGAGCCGTAAATGATTGCTAGAAGCATGTCAGCCAAACTCGATACATCCATAGACCTCTCTTAGGCGCATAGCGTATGCAAAGTGCGAGCGGATCACCACGGAGGTATCCTTTTCGTCCTAGTCTTCTTCTCACAAGTCGGCGGTTCACCTCTCTTGAGTGGCTCCATGTGCCTTGGGACGACGGGTTTAGGGTTCAGGCAGAAAGATGACAAAGATCCTTAGAGTGGCGACAGTCCACTTTGATGATGGCTTTTGCAGCAGCTAGTAACTCAGTAGTAGCAGGGGTAGTAGTTGTAAGAGCAGCAGCAGCAGCAACAGAAGCAGAGCAGTGGCGGCGGCCGTGCTGGTCACAGCACTGACCATGGGAATCGGTAGTAGCTCCAGCACAGTTCGAGAAGTTAGAGTTGGAGGTTTTTGCCTATTGTCCTCAATGGAATGGCCACTGCTGTTATTGTAGTTGTAATGTCCCTGGGCCCTAGCAACATGAGTCTCGGAAGCCCTAAACCCTAATCCCATAACACCACTGCAGTGGTGCTAGCAGCTTTAAGGATTGCTTGAGGGGACTTCAAGGGTATCGCGTTTCAAGGGTTCAGTGTAGTGCTCTGAGGGTTGGCTTAAGGGTGTCACTTTACGGGCTGCTTTGAAGGCAGTGCTTTAAGAGGGTTGTTTTGTTTTAAGGGAATCACTCTGAGGGTTGCTTTAAGGGTATAGCCTTAAAGGGTATTACTTTATGGGTATTGCCTTAAATTTTCGGGTTGCTGTAACGGTATTGCTTTAAGGCGTGCCTTAAGGGTATTGCTTTAAGGGTTCCGCTTAAGGGCATTACAGAGGTTCAGGGGCTGAGTGTAAAGTGCATTGATGAGAGGTTCAGGGTCGAAGCGCTTAAGGTTTCCGGGTCAGGGCACCCCAAACCCCTAAACCCGCAAGCCCTGTCAACCCCAAACCCTGAACCGCCTAAGCCCCTAAACCCCTAAACCCTAAAACCCTAAGCCCTAAAACCCGAAACCCTAAACCCCTAAACCTCTAACCCCTCGACCCTTAAACCACTACTTCTGAACGCTAACCTCCGACACCAGAAGATCTCCTAGAGGTGCTGCTTGGCGGTTTGGAGAGCTCTTGACTTCAAAGCTGGCGAGGTCCCTCGGAGTTTGGGTTTTGGGGCTGCGGTTCAGGGTTTAGAGGCTCAGGGTTTAGGGTCTAGAGGCTTAGAGGGCTTAGTGGGCAGGTTTGGAGAGTTGATCGCTTTTGGCATTTACATTCTGCATCGGACCATGTAGAGTTTGGGGTTTCAGGGTCGAGGTGTCGGTTGTTTGCCTTGTTGCCTTTGGGCACGTTCGAAATACGCGTCCTTGCTGCAGGTGTCTCTGAGGGAACAACCGGGTGAGGTTGTTGTGCTTGTTCATAGCACGCAGGCTTTGGGGCTGAAGCCATTGGGCGATTTTGACAGCTGTTTAGCGCCGGTCGTGTCCTGATTGTGAGTGTATTCGGGATGTTCATGACGGTTGCTTTGTAGCTGGAATGTTGTGACATCTGATCTCAACTGCATGGTCACTCGGCGAACAAAGATGTACCGCTCATTAAGTCCTGATGTCTACAATGATGGGAATTCTGATCATAATGAAGGTGGTGACGACGACGTGGTTGTGACGATGATAACGATCCAAGGGAGTGTGTACTAGTACTCCAGCGAAAGCGAGTCCAGGAGACGTGCACCGCGTATTCTACACTGATGGAGATTGCTCTATAGCCGGATTCGCTGTAGAGGTCTTTGTTTAACAGAACTACAGGCCTATGTTAATTTGAAAAAACTCTACACATAAGCCTTAGCTGCTCCTGCCTTCCTGGAACTCGGCAGGTGGCGATTGATATCAAAAGCCGCAAGAAGCTGGCAAAAGCAATCGAGAGGGCCTGCGACTGAGCGAGTTGCACCTCCTGTGGTAGCAGTGCGGTGCCCTAAACCCTAAGCTGACCCTAATATAGAACCCTAAATAGTAGGATCCCTATTATAAGGACCCCAAAATAAGGCACCCTAATTTAAGGTCCTAAACACAATGAGCATGGGCCTTTGCAACTAAGATCCGAACACAGAAGAAGATATGCCTGGCTGCTGCCCTCGGCTTCTTCATCGCCCACACGTGGCTGGGAATATGCCAGAGGGAGGTGTGGACCTAAAGGGCCTGTAAAAAGGCCAAAGGCAGACCAGAAATAAATAGAGGCTGTTTTACGGCTTGCAGGGGTGAAAGGTCGATTTGGAGCTTCGGCTTTGAGGTCGGGACAAGCTACCTTCCTAAATCTGAGAACCCTAAACCCTGAACCCTGAACCCTAAACCCCTCAACCCCTAAACCCTTCTCCCAAACCCTATTCTAATTATTAAGCTATATTACACCCTGAACCGACAGCTCCCGAAGCGAGGCTCTGGATGATGTACGCCACGCGGATGGCTGCCGCTTGCCAAGCATCCGAGTCGGCCTCCCTCCAAGTTCGCTAGGGGTTTGGGGTTTTCGGGCTTAGGGATTTAGGGCTTAGGGATTTAGGGTTTAGGGTTTTAGGGCTTAGGGTTTTAGGGCTTGGGGTTTTAGGGTTTAGGGTTTTAGGGTTTAGGGTTTTAGGGCTTAGGGTTTGGGGTTTAGGGTTGAAGGTGGGTTAAATTGCCAATATTCTCCCTTAGGGCTTCTCCTTATGAGTATTGTCTAATGGGCCCCAAACCGCTATTCTGCTTAAGCAAGGCCCCTATAGTACATGGCCCCAATTCCCAACTCGATGGACATTTAGAATGAGGCCCCGAGCCCTAAACCGAGACCATCATGGAGGGTCTAAGTTCGCCATTGCCAGAAGTCCAAGAGCCTCAAGCGTTTTTCAAAAGTCTGAAGGCTTTGTACAGGGTTGTCCAGAAATGGTAGAACGCAAGGGTTCGGAGTGAGCGCAGAAAGGGGCCTGGGGGGCTTTAGAGCCGTGGTTTCACATTCCATCGCCCTGCGCACCTGCCGTTTCCATCCCATTTTGACTTGTCCGTCTGTTTGTCACAGTCGGTGCACCGAATCATGGCGATTAGTGGTTCACACTGGCATTACGTACTTGCCACAGGGTTTTGGTTGTAACATAATGGCAACTCTTGATTAATAA